CTCCACCCCGATATCTTCCCCCACCACCCCTCGGCGAGGAGTAAGTGCCACCGCTCCGCCTTCTCCTTTTCGCAATGTTGACGCAATCTATAAATAGTGGAACAAAAGGACCAACTTCCTCGCAGCTTTGCTGAAACTGCACAAAAAAGGCAACCGGGGGGGGGGACACACACGCGGTTATTTTTTGATTTTATTTTTCTCTGGTTAAAAGGCGAATCCTCCTCCTCCCTTCCTCCCTCTCTCTCCTTCCCCCCCTCCCCTCCCTCCCTACTGGAAGATCTTTTTTATTTTCTCTTGCTGCCTCCTATGCTGGCAACGTCCTGCGAGTGGCTATTTTGCTTTTGCACCGAGAGAAGAGCTTCCCCCCTCGCCCTCTCTTCTGACAGTAAGTGCCATTTAGCTACTGCCTTTTCGGGAACTGGGGGGGCCGCCTGCTCGCCTACCTGCCTGCTGCCCCAGAGAGCGGGCAGCGGGGACCGGGAGCTCCGGGGAAGCGGGGGTAGCTTTGGAAGCGGTGAGGGGACAGCGCCGCGGAGCGAGCGGGGATGCGCGCAGGGGGGACGGGGAGTGGGGGACCCGTGGATTTAGCCGGGGGGGCCAACCGGTGAAATAAGGTGATCGGGAGAGGGGACGGCGGCTGCCGCCCGCCGAACAAAAGCTGACGCTGATATTAAACGGGCTTTTGTTAGAGGGAAGTGAGTGTGCGTGCGTGCGTGTGTGTGTGCGGGGGGGACACCCCGCCCGCAGCAAGTTGCCGTGCGGCGGAGGGCACCTCAGACTTGTTTACCGCTCGGCGCGGCGCTCACTGGCGTGTTTACCCTGCACACACGGCGCGGGGCTCCCCTCCTCCCCCAGCCCCATCCCTCTTCCGTGCCCCGGCGAGGGGAGGGATGAGCGGAGCGGGGTTTATAGCGGCGCTGGGGGGGTGCGCCGTCAGGAGATGCTGATACGATCACGCGTAAAACAACCACCCCCCTCCGGTTTGCAAGTCGGATCGGTGCAAGCGCAGGCAGTCACTGGCCGGAGGGAGAATTACATCATCCCCTGCTCCAGTGATGCTACCTTTCGTGCCGCTACCATGCGCGCCGGGAAACAACCGGGGGCGCGCCTCACGCCCCCCTGCCGCCTCGGTGCCACCCTGGGGGCGGCGGGGGGGAGCTGGGGGGCGGGGAGGCGCGCCCCCGCGTCACTCACACACACACACACGCCCGCCCGAGTGTTTACAGCGCTCACACAGGCGTATTGTGACGTCGCCTGAGTGACAGCCCGCAGCGCCAACGGGGGGGGCGCGGCCCCGCCGCCGCGCAGAGCGCGGGGCCCGCCCGCCCCGGCCCCCCCGGCACCGGCGCCGCGAGCGGCTCCGCGGGGAGCGGCGGGGGCTGCAGGGCCCCGCCGGGCCCGGGACTGAACGCATCCGAAGTTCAATCCGACTCACACGCTCCGGCAGCGGCGTGGCTTAGGCGATGCCGATGGGTTTGGGTTTGTGACGTTCTGTGACGTTTTGAGCGCACGCTGTAGAAGGGAGAGCTCGTGAGAGAGGCGAGGTGTGCTCGCAGGCGTGGGGTGTCTGTGAAGGTACACCGCTCCCTGCGGCGGAGAGCGCGGACCGGTCTCGTCCCGGGGAGCACGGTCCTGGTGGGACTTTGGGACAGGAACGCCGTCAGAGTAGAAGCTGTCATATCGATGGCCCTGGACACTCCATTGTCCAGAGTGGACAATTTTTTTTTTTTTTTAAAGGGATATAGACTTCAGTACCGAGGACAAAATCTAAATATCACATATCGTACGCTTTCCCCAGCGTTACAAGTGTAATGTTATAGGGTTAGAAACTTGTTGCAATATGCTACTGAGTTGGGGAAAAGTGTCTCCGGGGTTTACTCAGGCTGTGAAAATATTGAAGCAGTACTTACCCACTGCAAAGTCAATAAAACTGTATCACTCTAAAACCAACAAAAAGTGCTTTACAAATTTATATTTGTCAAGAATTGTCTGCCAGAATGCATCAGTGTAAAAATTACTACCAAAACACCAACATCTACTTGCTGCAAAATTCAAGTAACCACGAAGCCCTGTTTAATAGTACACACAGTTTTTAATGTGTTAATGGTTTGGGGTTCTTCAAAGCATATTACTTTTTGAAGTCTGTGCAGAAAATAGACTGAGAAGCTTTGAGCTCCTACTGTTACAAAAGTTAAAAGGAAACAAAGTTGAGCTGCTAAGTCGGCAGTCTGGAATGAGTCAATAGTATCTCCTTTGTCCTGCTAGCTTTCTCTGCTGTGGTGTATCTTTGCTCTATTTCCTCTGCAAAAGCAAATGAGCATTTCTACCCTCAGCATATTTAATAGACTTAGTAGAACTCCTGGCTTCTAAACATTTTAAACTACCAGTAATATTCCAATGTGTCTCCCTTTCCCAGCTATATACAACAGTGGTACTAGCGTCAATGACAGTATGCTCACTTCTTTGACCAAGAGATACTTCCACATTTTCCATTATCTATAATTAATAGAGCAAATTATTCTTGCTGTGTTGTAGTAAGCCTTCATAAAGGAACAAATATGCCTTTTTAAAGTACTCCATTAGCTCGTGGGTTTTTGGTTGGTTTTGGTTTGGTTTGTTTTTAAGGGAAAAAAAAAAAAAAAAAAAAAAAAAAAGATTGGACTGGAGACATGAAGGAGGTGCAAATAACTCCCCTCTTCATTTACTTGGGGATTCCTCGGCAGTCTCAGAGGGCAAGGAGATAACATAGCTGGCTTTTACAACAGGATGACAGGTCCTGACACAGGGTCACAGCGAATCTATGCTTGGCTAGCCCTGTGCTCCAGTTTTGTTTAGCTGGTAGCTAGTCCCTTGAGGGATCAATGTCAACTTAAGCATGCTAACTTCTACAAGCAATGGGCTGGCCACTGACCGAGGGCTGTGACTGGCTCCTCCAGGGCTCCCTGCTTCTGTGCACTTGGAGCTTGAGTGCTGCTGCCAGGCTGCTTCTGTGGCTCTGCAGCTTGTCACAGAGAGAATTAAAGTGGCAACAGCACAAAGCAAGCCCAAACACTGTCTGTTCTCTGGAAACAAAAGGTGGCTAGGTGTATGAGGAGGATAGGAAAAGCAGCTTGGGTAGGGACATGGCTTCATGACTGAGGCACAGGAACTGGAGCCAACTCCCATCACCATGAGCTGTTTCTGTGTACCTCAAACCCACTTTTCCCTTAAATTCTGGCCTTGAATTGGTATTAGTTGTTCCACAGATCTGTCACACTCCCAGAGATAATAAACAAATGTCAATTAAATGTCCCACACATAAAGGTATTAGATAACAACCTACTTTCTCTTTTAAGATATGTATATCTTAAATTTATCAATTAGGGAACAAGGTATATGCGTGTGTTAATGCACACACATATACACACCTCCTCACACTGTCAGTCCTTTCTGGTTTAACTTTCAAAACCCATTGGAGATTAGAGTTGGGTTACTAGAGTTCAAAGAAGAGTGAATTTGTATTAACTCACTGGGGTTGAAACCTGTATTTTAATATGTACTGTATGTAGTTTTTATTCAGTTTTATGTTACAGTATGAAGACTTTTTAAGTCTGCAAGATCAAGATAATTTTTGTGTTTATAAAAATAAGGCTTGTTTGTTATTAATTTATCTAACTCTGCTTTTCTTTTGATACTTGAAGTACGTAAATGAGTTATTTAGCACATTATTAGCTGAATGACCCTTCCTTTACTTTTTTCACACTTGAAAAAGATTATCAGTCAGCTACTGCTGTATTACTGTATATGTGACCAGTCGTCTGTACCATTTGATGCCTGATACTTTTAAAATTGATTTTTTTTTTTGTAGTCTTATTCTGTACATAGGATCCCAGGGTTTTTTTGTCTGTTTGTTTTTAACACCCTATAATTCCTAATGATAACAAGTAGTTTTCCCTGATCACCATAAAGGCCTATGCTATGGATTTCTACAGTTTTCATTCAAAACTCTAGACACATTTCCATCTTTTCATTTGTAAATGGTGTTACTAACTTATATTTGGAAATTTAACTGATTCAGACAGCACAGTCTTGCTGGTTCTGCAAGCAGGCAGTTCCAGTGTTTCAGCTTTTGCACAGTAGCACTTTAACAAGCAGCAGCCATGCATAACTAACGAGACTGCAAGTCCAGTTACTGCTTTTTAGAAGCCTCTGCCCAGCTCTTGTGTTATCCAAAATGTCCATTTTATGTTGCTGCAGCCATATGACAATACTACTGACAGCAGGAAAGTGTAGTGGTTATTTACAATGGATAAGATACAGGGGGAGAAAAAGAAGTTTTAAAAAATGGAGGCTGAGGTGCAGGAAGAAAGAAGAATAGATCCAGCTATCCTTTTATAGTAACTGGTGTTTTGTGGAAAGTGGTTAAGAAAGGAAGACTCTTGCTTCCTTCCAGCAGTTGGCCAGTGATGGCATGATACTTCTAACTGAAGGCTGACAGCATTCTTGGATAAACCCTTATGCAGGTTTCATATGTAGTATCTAGTATTGCTCAGCTCCTTCTCTTGACCCTACTTTTAGATTCAGGGTTATACCCTCTAACTATATTGATGGATGTCTAATAGAACAGTTTTCAATTTGGCGTTAATGCTTCATAAAAAGTAATACTACTATTTTATATTTGTGAATATTTTAAAGTACTGCTGTAGTTTTCAATAATATTTTTTTATCTGTACAGTTAGTGTTGTGAATACAACATATGAATAGATTATATTAGCTAGACAGGGCATCACTTCAAAATGTGTACATAATGTGTACACAAGATAACACCTAGCACAGACTCCAAAAAGTGCTCTTAACATGGATTACAGGTACAAATTAATACTTTGATGAATGGAAACTAGGAATTCAGTAGTAGTTCACCAGACGAGAAATATGCCTTTAGACTCCAGAAAGAAGTAAAAAATAAATATACTGAAAACAGTCAACACTAGCTAGAAAAACAGATTATCGAGACCACTGTACTTTTTAAGGACTCTTAGTATCCTCGTTTCTGTCTGAATATGTTATTTGCATGAACATCCTTTTTGATAAAACAATAAAATTCACAAAGATTCTACTGTATGACACTGTACTGATTGACTGTCACAACTACTGACTAAATATTAATTTTTGTAATCTTTCTAAGTTAAATCTATAAACTCCTATATCTGGATAACTTTTAAAACTCTACACACAAATGAAACACTCAACAAAACAATTTACTGACTTACACATTGTCCACCCTTGATTTTAAAGATTTGGTTAGTAATTTAAATTAGTTTGTCAATTTTACTTTTATTAGTTTGATAGAGAAAAATTAGATGGCCTCTTTTGTTTTGAAGTGTATTTCATCTTAGTTTCATTACA